AGAGAGAGAGAGATTCTCTGAGACATGGGGAAAAGCGCTCGAAATTACAAGTCGTGGATTAAACGCAATTATCGATCGAATGCCTGGTATTAACGCGAGATCAACTAGGCGATTTAAATACGCGATGCTCGAAAAGAATGTTGTGAGTTGAATTTTTGTTTAAAAAAATAAAATATAAAAAATATGGATTAAGCATTCCTACTTTGTACTTTTTGACTTCACTATCGAAGAGAATCATTCGGTGTATTGCATATATAAAGTGCTTTTCAAAATTTTTAAATATTAACATTTTTGCTGATTATATATATATATATATATATATATATATATATATATATATATATTACGGTTAGTTACATGCTCTCTTTTCATTCTGTTCATATAGATGAACTTTTTAATTGCGGAAATCGTGAAACTACGAAAAATCGTGAAATGTGTGAGAACTTGTGGAAATTTGTTAATTTTTCATTAATTTTATTATTTACACACTCTCACTATTCACATCGACTGTATCTTTATTCTTTTTACATAATACATGTTTTTTATTTTAAATCATTTTTTTTCTTTTCTACGAATACTTTTATAATGATGATGCAATTATGTAATAAAATGTTTTCTATATTCTATAAAAAAATCTAGATGATATTTTTTATAAAAATTCATTATCACTACAAAAGTCATAATTAAGTAAAAAAAAAAAAAAAGATAAAGAAGTGTATCATTAATTTATTTCAATTATAATAGATATATTTTTTGTATAAACATAAATAATCTTTATTCTAATTTCTAATAAATATAAAATAAATGTTTAAATCGCGCATTCAGATTGCATTTTAATAGTGCTAATCGATAATCGTGAATTAAAATTACAATTAAAATGTGATCAATCATCATGCATAAATTCATGCTTTCCTATATAAGTTATAATTGTGTGTAAAGAAATGATATTAATAAATATTTATCATAATATCTTAATGTCTTAATATCACGCAATAAAATGTATTAAAGAGAAGCACGAACGTATTCTATTTATGTTGTAAAAATATCGTTATTTCTATGCGTATTACGCAATCAAATTAAAAATCAATAATTATTCTTAAAAATTAATAATTAATTTTTATCTTGTTTTATATTTAACTTCTTATCATAAAAATAAACTGCGAAAAATATCAATAACTTTTTTTTAGAAACTTTTAATATAGTACAACTTCATCCTTATTATTGAGATTAAAATGACAATCATAATTAAGCCGTGCAAATTTAATGACAGCAGTTGAAGATTAATTGCACTATCGAGAGTACAATGTTCCGTACATGAGCATTGACGTTTAGCATAATATCAATAGTCGTGTTTTCATTTTATCAGGCAGATAGTTATGACAATGTGATAGTAGAAGGACACGAACTGAATTACCTATATAATTCTTGATTATGTAAATGAGATATTCCCGATGGGAAGTAACATATATGGATTAGTTGCCACGTTAGAAGATCCGTATCAAACAGAAATATATTATGACTTCTGTTATTTTTACTATGATTCCCAATGGAAAATAGGCACGGACAAATGTATGCCTTAAGATATTGATTCTGAAAAAGTTGTCCTATTTTTGGCGTCAGGTCTCCCAGGTCCGCTGAAAACCTGCCGCCGATTTCTTCATGAAGTTATTTAGTATAATTTGTAGACCGCATCGTGCAATATTATATGGCATAAGAAATTCCGCAATGACTGCATTGCATGAACAGACACGCAAAGATCGGCGTATCTAAAGCTTCTTATTGACTTATGTTCTATATTTTCATATTAATCCGTTTATTTTACTTTATCATAATTATCTTTCCTGAATTAATTTATTTAATTAATCTATTATATTGAAAAAAGTAACGTTTAAAACATAACAACTTTTCATCTACTTTTAATAATATAATAATCTTCACATAAACAACTCTCAAAATTACTTCACGTAAAAAGAATTTAGGAATAGAATGTTACATGTAAATAAAACTAGCAGATTTATCAGAAGTCAATATTTAAATAAATATTATATTATCATAAATTATAGTAAAAGATAAATTTTTCTATTAGAAAGCGTTTGAAGAATAATACTCGTGTGAAATCAATTTTAATCATTACATATTCATCATTAAACCTACCATAAAATCTAAATCTCAACAGTTAATTAAAAATTTTACGAAGATTAAAATTTCCATTCTAATATCGAAACTTAGGCAAATTTGTTCTTTTATAAAAAAAATCAATACGTGCTGAAAGTGTTACAAGCTTTTTAAGTATTTGCACGCCAAGCAGACGTATGTGTGTGTGTGTGTGTGTATGTGTGTATTATATATATTTTAAATAGCTACAGCGAATAAAAGAAGAAAAGAGGAAAGAGAGAGAGGGAGAACAGGAGCGAGAGAAAAGTTGAGAAAGTAAAAAATTTCATCGTAAATATATTCCTAAGCTGCCGGATACATACACTGTTCGCAGCAGCTCGCAGTAGCTGCAGACGACGTTCGTACAAAGTAGTAACGTCGTTCGATAACACCTTCTTTCTGCGAGCTTTCAGTTAAAAGATAAGAATCTCGGATTCGAGGCCAAGCGAGCGCACACTCCTCGGGGGCATTCTTTGGCCATCGGCAAATTTCGAAAGGGCGCTCGACCTCGCAAGATGGCAGAGGATGGTCGGCGGTGGAGAGGGGAGGATAGGGGGGGGGGAAGATGGTTGTATCAGAAATCACGATGGAACGAGAGGGTGGCTGACGGTGCCCTCATCCTTCCCGTTCCCCCTTTTCTTCGAGCACATACACGCGCGAACGGATCCGGATGAATTGGAGCGACACCACAGCCAACAAAGGACGCCAAATATCCCGGATGTATCTCGCGCGTATTGTATAAGCGCGGGGCGCTTTTTTCTCTTCCTCCAATATAGCCAGCGTCTCTCCTTCACACGACCGGCTGAAAGGGGGAGTGCTCGATACGTTGCGGAAGGTCAAGCGCCCTCCGCACCAGACAATGACAAGCACTTCGGGTTTCACGTATAGGCACGTCGAGCACGTGTGTGGGAGAGACGAAAAGGGAACGATGGGGGAGGGCGGGAGGCCTCGAGGATGGGTATACCGTGTGTGCAAGAGCGGTGCTGTATCACTACGATGTATCCTGTAGGTCACACCGGCGTTTCGTATCGACCGACCGCGTGTGTATGTTACCTGCCAGCGTTGCCACCGACAGCCGAAATATTGCAGCGATTGAGCCGCGCGGAATCTTGGCCGCGATACCTTTCTCGGCGTGAATGCGTGGGCGGATCTTTCGTGAGTGACGTTAGGGATGTTAGGAAATGGGGGTGACTCCTGCTGCTACGTGACTCTGCAATTTTGCGCGATATGATTTGACAGCCTGCCTGTAAACGTGAGTCTCATGTTCCATTATGCCATTTGCGAAAATTCGCGAGTATATGTAACAATAGCGACAAACGAGTGGCCTTTAAGAACGGAAGAATTCTGTCAATATTGATTAATTTAAATCACTCTCAACGCTCAATTGTTTTCGTTCTGGAAACAGAATGCACCTTATTGGGCAATTCGTTGAAGTTAATGGACATTTTGGAGAGATTGGCTTCCAATATCCATTAAATCCGAATCGACTTATATAACTCGTAATAAATTATCTCTTAGCTCTTAGGAAATTATCTTATTTCGTGTTTTTCCTGTAATGTAAGTATTCAAATAATTAAGATATTAAATATTCTGCTTCGAGTCCTGAGAAATTTAATCAATTACCTGAATATCGCGTAAAAATTGTGAATTTTTTAGGACATGTGGTTTTATGAAAAGCGGACTTGATAAAAATTAAGATTAAAAGTCGCGATTTCATTTTTGCATAAAGAACGATTTTTAAAACGATATGAATCGTTCGTAGCATCTCATTTTCTCGGATGCAGACGAAAGGGAATAAAATATTTAAAGAACGTTACGTCATTGTGATCTCTTGTACCCGTTTCTACAGTCAAGCGAGAATAACGCGGGATTTAATTTCACTACCAGTCAATCTATTTTATCTCTGACGTTTGTTTAGAACACACGTGCTTCATTGTGCGCGATTCCACTGAATCGAGGACTTATGCAATCTAATCGCGATGCGCTGCATCAAATGTGTGGTAGCTAATCGAGGGACATGCGTTTTCAGTAAAAATGCATATTATTATGAGGAAACAAAAGTATGATTCCACTTAGAAAGATTTTTCAATCGATTCCAAGTCTCTTCTCAGCAAAATATCATATTTTATACTTAAACAAGATTGTTTCATCAAGTAAAATTTTATTAATTAGAAAGCTTGTATCAAATCTCCATTTCTTTTGATCAAGTAGACTAATTAAAAAAATTAATCATCCAGATTTAATATAGAATATTAAAAATTTGCCATAAAAGTAATGTCTCTGATTAACTTTACTATAGAGAAATCGATTTCAAGTTCTCTAAAATAAAATAATATTTTCAATATTGCTTTAAATTGATTAATGCAATTATATATCATATGCATTCCATTTTTTTTTTCTCGCAATCACGTACAATTCATTTGCTCGTTCGTCGCTCAATAATCCTAAATTCTTTATAAATAATTTAGTCGATGAATTTAATACCTATATATCTCTTTCTCTGTTTTTCCTTTTACTATCTTCTCTTTCTGCCTCTAACTCTCACGCTCTGATATTTCCTAGTATGATGCATGAATCCACATATTTTAAATTTTCATCTACATATCTCGGAATACATAACATTGTTTCGTTGCCAGCTCGGATATTTATTAGTGCTTATTCCGATATTGTACTCTCATTTCTATTCCGTCATTATTATAGCGCAAGTTACTTATTATTAAGAATTACGACGAGACTGAGAGTTAAAAAGCGACAGCAAAAAATCAGGAATCTCTACGAAATATATGCACAAGAATTGCATTTGGAATTATAATTCTAATCTTTCTTTTTGTTTTTTTCTTACGTAGTTGCCATGGAATCGAGAACCGGCATGTCGCGAAGCACGAAAAACGTCCATCGCAGAAGCTCGAGACATCCTGGCCGTTTTCCTTGTAAGTCCATTTTCAATTTTGTTTGATTGCGAATCTATATATCTATATCTTTAGGAGTTTTCGATCGTGCGATTCCGCTCCGGAAATACGTAGAAACGAATGTGCTATTCTGCTACCTTCGTTTCTACCTTAGGTCGACCATACGTAACTTGCTTTATCGATATCCCGCCGTTTATTTTGTTGATTGTAAGAATATGAGTCGTATTTTCTACAATTTCCTTTTTCCACGGTTTCGCTTAAATCATATTAATTCGGATAATTGAAATTATTGGTTCAAATGAAATAACCGAACAAATTTTCAATAATGAAATTGATGGCTATATTATAAAATCGCTAAAGACTATTCATATTTGATAATCATTGTAAAGTTATTAAAATTATTAATTAAAAATTTATTTCATTTTATTATATTTGCCCAAAAATTTTAATTAATTATCTAGTTTCGTTAATTTTTATAATTTATCAAGAATATCTCTCATAAATACAGATACAAAATTATTTTATTCGTGACATTACTGTTAAATTCTTGTATTTTAAAAAACTCATACTCATTTAAATAATAGTAACCAGGCACTTATATTTAAATTCTTAAGATTGTACTTCAATCAGGTTAAAAGTAAAAGCTCGGCTGTTAAATCATAATGCAATTTCTAAAGTTTTCAACAAGATTCTCCAAATTTTTAATGAGAATTTTGAGGACAATAATAGATTTTCTCTCGCACATATGAGAATCGTTGAAGCATTCATTCGCGTGGAGTGACGTCAATGTTGCGAAAAAAAGCTCATTATTTTAACAGATAAAAAGCGGGGAACACTTAGGAATTGATCCGAACCGACAAAGCTACCGTAACTTATGACTTGATATCCTCCTTACACAACTTTGCGTTGGCGCCATTTTTACGATCAATAATCTCCCGCCTTTCGGTACGGCTAGATGGCACGTTCTACCCGGGCATGATCTTGTTCTAAAACTTGCTACATGTACCGTGTGATAGCGCCACATCGAGCTTTCTAACTTTAGGAAACGAATTTATTAATTTTTTATTTAATATGTCGCAATTTATTGATATTTCACTAATAATTAAAATAATTATTTGGTCTTAAGGTGCGTTAAACATATGATAGAATATGCGTAAAAAAATTCATATAAAACAAAATACAAAATATAAGAATTAAATATAAATACGATAACATGAAATGCAACAAAATAATATATAAATCCATACAACTACATGAACACTTACGAAAAACGCCATAATTATTTTTATAAACGCGGTACTTTTCAACATTTTTTTTGAAAATAATAATGTTAAAATATTTTTTAATGAGAATTAAAAATAATGAGAAATAATAGAAATTTTATTTTACACACACATTGCCTAATGCAATGTAATACGTTTGTTTATTACATTATGCGGTATAAGTTGTTAACACATAAATTTTGAATACGTTCTCACTCGCTGAAATAATTTACACCTCAATAACCGATATTTCGTAGTTGTATCATCGTAATAAATTCTTGCTTATTGCCTGAAGCTGATACGTATATATTGCACAAAGCGGATAGATATTTGCTCGTAAAGTGCGTGATGTAATTGTGAGAAATGGTCGTAATACTAACTGCAAATTAAAAACAACGTATTTCACATGCATCAAAACAATCAAGGTATGAGAAGTATGAAGGAATTAATAATCATCACACGGTATTAAAGTCACAGGTTCATTCATTCAAGAGAAAATTAGCGATTAGCAGTATCTCGCAATATTCAGATTTTTTTAATATTTCTAATATTTTTCCACAGATTTCTTAATTCCTGCTTCACTATTGAGCAGTAATTATTTTCTCAAGATCTTTTCTTACGTGTAAAAAAATTTGTATGTGATTTATTATTTTTATTTTATAACGATCTCTATAAATCTTTGATAATATGGAACAAAATTGCCGATTATATGAGATATTTCTTCGCTATTAACGTCAAAAGCTGTTCATATTACGCGAACAATTAAAAGACGCGAATAATGGATATTGCGAATTTTGCGTTGCAACGGAAAGGTAATATAATGGTCAGGAATGAAAATATATAAAGTAGTCAAAGGGCAGTTCGGACCACGCGGTCGCGTGGGAAGCTGCGTTACGACGATTCGCGTAATTATTTTATTTTAACATCGACCTCTCAACTCAAACACTTCGTTTTTACAAGCGTCACACGCTTTTGTCCGAATTGTTCGTCTCTATTTCCTTTTAGCGTTCCTTTAATTTCATGTTTTACACGCTGCACGTGCATTAGCAATTAAGGATCGACGATTGCGATGCGCGATTAAATTGCGTTTTGTTTGCACCCCCCCTCTCTCTCTTTTTCTCTCGCTCTCTCTCTCTCTCTTTCTCTTTCTGTCTTTCCCTTCTCCCCCTTTTCCATCACATCATGTTTAATTACACGTGCTTTTTGAACACGATAATGTCCAACGGCCGTGTTGGCGCGAACAAGAAGTAAGTCAAGGATCAATCCGCGCACCAGTCGGACGAATTTCGGTAGTCCTCGAGTTATCGTGGGCGCGCCCGACCTTAACACTGATTGGTCGATATCCCGAAATAGCCGCTGGGAAGATCTGATAACGTAGCCCCCATATACAGGGTGTCTCGGCAGGTTCTTTGATCAGTTTGGAATTAATTTTTCACATGAATGTCAAGGCACCAATAATCCTAAATGTCGAGCGTTTGAAGATGAAGAGATTCCCGTGAACTTTACTCTTGAAATGTAATAATTAAATAACCCTTTTCTCGCTTAAATATAACTTTACTTTATCTGAATTCTTAGTGCTTATTTTTAAGTAACTTTTAATTCGAATTTTATCGATTAAGTTGGATATCTATAATGACAAAGTGAAAAAGTTGTAACAAACAATATTCGTGATAAAAAATTTGCTTAAAAATACGATTTCTCAAAGAATTCATCGTCGAAGTTGAAATCTAATTTTAAATACACGCTAAGAAATTCTAGAAATGTTCTCTGCGAAAATGTAAATCCGATTTGTCTGTTATTTTACACTTTACGTAAAGATTCATATAAAAACAACTTGAACATTTTTTACGCATTATAGTTTAATAAAATTCTAACTTCTATTTTAACACGGGCAATGTGCTAAAAGAACTCTAGTTTATATAGCTATCCATCAATCGTCCGGAATGATAAATATTTCGCAATGCCTCTCGGCTTCATTTCATCAACGAAATTCGAATACTGACGTCATCAGATGTTCAGTCGTCCAAATTTACTCGTAGCAAGCAAATTCAGAAGCGCCAAATCGAAAGATACATTTTGCGAATATCATTATCAAAAAAGTTCGATCTATTCAGAACATGCGGATCTCTTTCAAATCATTTATGCTATTTTTTCGAATAGGAAATAATGCTAAGATTACTCGGATAAACTCGGCTCACATTTCTAAGCAATATGCAATTCGCGCTATTTTTACGGGATGAGAAAATCGGTTGCAGGTGATATCCGGTGACGATGCACCGATGCGTCCCAGGGCGACAGGGTGTCTAGCAAACCTGCGCCGGAGTCGGAGAAATGTCGGTGAAAATTCGCGTATATGTGATTTTTCCGACGTGTCTCAGGGGCGTACGAGTGCTCGTTATCGAGAGCGAGAATGCGCGATAAATTCAGACAAGAATACCGAATGCATAGAGATGCCTCGCAAGAACTGCATCCGCACAATGGGAAAGGTGAGGCCGCTTTTGTGCACGCAAATCGATTGTCGGTAGATTGTATCGGAATTGCTCGGACGTTTACTTTGCACGCAACATATGCCTCGTTTTCTTTTCCCGCTTGGAAAAACATAAAACAGAAAAACGTTGATAGATATGAATATAGAACGGATAGTAATCCAATGAAATATATTCGTACAATCGTTAACGACATGTTGGATGAAAATTAATACCGAAAATCGATAACCCCACGTCTCTATATATATTGAAAGATTAATAAGATAACTGTCAGATTATATTGTAATAATTAATAAATGTATCTTTTTTTAATTAAACATGACTAAAGCGATATTTTGATGGAAATATTTCCACCGAGATGAAAATATTTTTTAACAGCTCGCGTTAACTATTTAGCATTCTATTATTTGCGTGAAACTTTAAGTACGCCGACTTGAAGTACACGCTGCATGCGAGGCAGAGATTACAATAAGACGACGTTGACATGCAACAATGCCACATGATGCATAAAGCGTGACCATATGTTTGACAAGGAAGCAAAACAAGCTTCCGTGCGATCAAAAGCCAATCAGTCACGTGTGAGAAAAACATCTGATAACGAGCCGCGTGTCGCGCGAGATCGGTTGGACTCTCGATAAAGACGTTATCGATGGGGATAGGTAGTTCGTTCCGATCCTCCCACTCAATAAGGGTTTATTTTCACGACAGCCATTTTTTTCTTCTTCATCCGTAAATGGACACAAAGGGTTATATATAATATAGATCGTGGAAAGAGAGAACGTGGAGGTTGGATGCGCGCGACGGGGGAGTCGGTAGCGAGGGTTGAACGGGGACGGAGTTTGCGCGATAATGCAAGCCATTCGATAACGAAGGGAGGCGCGGAGGAGAGCGACGAGCTCTTGACGAGCGCGTGTATACCTTCGCGTGTATACATCAGGGGATTCGACAAAGGTTAGCGGGAGGAAAACGCGTGTACGGTGGACCAGGACGTCCTTCCAAGAAGGGACACGATGGTACCGTCCTGAAAGGGACGAAGATTCGGGAGTGATCAATTCGTATAACGCAAACGAGCTCGATCTGAAAAACGGTGAGCTTTGTGAGCCAGCGAGAGAATCGTAAGAATCTCTTGGTAAGCAAGAGAGACTTATTGTATTGTCTGCAGAAAGGACTGCGAGAGAGAGCCTTAGTATCGTCGTCGAGGGGATTGCGAGGGTCTCGAGCTTTTATCGTTCACAGAGAGAGTCTCAGAGGTATATAAGCTAACCGTACCGTC